GGCAGAGAGAGAGAGGTCTTCCATCCACTGGTTCATTCCCCAAATGGCTGCATCAGCCAGAGCTGAGCTGATCTGAAGACAGGAGACTGGAACTTCCTCTGGGTCTCCCACATAGTGTAGGGGCCCAAGAACTTGGGCTATCCTCTACTGCTTTCCCAGGCCATAGCAGAGAGCTAGATTGGAAGTGGAGCAGCCGGGACTTAAACTATCACACATATGGGATTCCTGCACTGCAGGTGGCGGCTCTACCGGCTATGCCACAACCCAGCCCCTGCTCCACTTTTGATCCAGCTCCATGCTAATGCACCTGGGAAAGCAGTGGAAGATGGGTCAAGTGCTTAGGCCCCTGCCGCCTATGTAGGAGACTTGGATGAAGCTCCTGGCTTCAGCCCAGCCCAAACCTGGCTATTGTGGCCATTTGGGTAATGAACCAGCAGATAGAAGACCTTTCATTTTGTAACTTTGTTTCTGAAATAAATCTTCAAAACTTTTAACATTTTTTATTTGAAAGAGAGGGAGAGGGAGAGAGAAAGATATCTATCTCCCATCCACTGGGTCACTCCCCAAATGCCTGCCACAGCTGGGGCTGGGCTAGGCCAAATCCAGGATTTGGGAACCTCATTCTCCTACACATCTGACAGAGATCCAACTATTCGTGCTATCGTTGCTGTTCCCAGGGTATGTATTAGCAGAAAGCTGAACTCAGAACCAGAGCTTGGACTTGAACCTAGGCACTCCAGTATGGGATATGGGAGTTCCGAGTGGTATCTTAAGCCTTGCACCAGATTCCTACACCAAAATATGACCCCTTTTTACAAAAAAAAATCCTAGATTTATTTTGTAGTTAGGAAATATTAGTTGTAAGTAATATAAGACGGTTGTATCACTTAGAGTCAAGAGTTCTGAAATAACCTCAGAAATGAGAAGTCCTGTGTTTCAGAATATTGTGAGAAGGCCTCATAGGGAAGTGGCACTCTGGGGCTCCTGAAGGATGGACAGGGCTTAGCTACATGGCTGGGGAAAGATATTCTAGAGAAGAGACCTAAGCTAGTGGCTAATCCTGACAGGTAGGTATGACTGTAAATCCACTCTTAGCTCTGCTCTGAGATTCTGCAGCTGGACCCTGTAGACATTTCTCTTTTGCCACTTGACACAATGTTAGGCTTTGTCCTGATACAATATGATTGAGAAAGTTCTTCTTGACCAAGCTTGAGGCAGGGAGAACTTCAGAGAGGAGAACAAGATTGGTCAGATAAAGTACAAGGCAAGTATGCAGAGTCTTAAGCACAGCTTCAGAGAGTTCGTGAACTGAGAAACTACTGAGAAAACTCAGCTTTGCAAAGCTCTCTGAGCAGCTGCCCAGCACAACTCTCTGGTGTTTCAAGCATTTTACCTTCTGGCCTGTTCATTCCATTCTCCCAAGCCTCATCGGTGATAGTTTGGATCTCCCCACACGTGTTGACTCTTACTAAAACTGCCCATGCTGTTGCCTTCATATGAAGCACCTGTCTCCAATCTCTGTTGCATGGTCAATGTCTACTTATCCTTGGGAAGCTTCATCAGGCATCATTTTGGTGAAAGAATGTTCCCCTGATTCTCCTCCCCCATTTCATAACTCCCTCCTCTGTATTACTTACTGTCTCTATCTCGTGTGTCAAATTACACTGGACTTGTTTAATATCTTCTTTCATCTTTTCTACTAGACTGAGCTTAGCAACTGTAATTCTCCCTTGTATCTCCAGAGCCTCCTGGACTACCTGCAACATAGCAGGTGCACTGCACTACTGTGGGGGATGCTGGTGCTCTCTCTAGGAGGAGGGGATAGTGTTATTTGGGGGGTATCAGACACTCATATCATTGTTAAGTATAGGATGGCATTTTGGCGTTTCTGGTGTAGGAGCAGTTGGTTATCCAATATCTTTTCCAATAAATTTTAATCAACCTAATAACTCTCAGCCTCTTTCTTCTGTCTCTTGTACACATCAGGGTAAATAGTGGGACAATTAGGGGTGGCTGTGCATTGGTGTGCCTTGGGCCCAACCTGTGAAATTACAAGAAGGAAAACAACTGTGCTTCCTTGTGAGGTTTTTTTCAATGTCCATTTTAGTTAAAATGTCCTCTTAACATAAAGGAGGGAAAAGTTCAGATGCACACCATGGAATATTCATCACATTGCTCACATTCTGAGAAGAATCAGGCTGGTTAAGTGACTCTCGGGCTGCTCTCGCCTATCCTGAGCTGTGAGCATCTGCATTTTGATTGGACTGTTGCCAGAGCTCATTAGCATAATGTACCCTGACCTGGAATAGGGAACAGTGTCTGCTCAGAAAATGACCAGAGCTTGCTGGGACCTGAACCAGAGAAGAGATTTTTATTACACACAATATTGACCACATCTGCACAAGAAGTCAGAAGGTAAGAAAGCCAGAAATCCCAATAGGAGGCAAATGTAAGGGCTACCCCATTCCTACAGTGTTTTCTTTGTTCTGGTTTGTTTTCTATAAAATTGATAAAAATTGAATATACTTTTACCAAGAAGCTTTAAAAAGAAGTCTTGACAAATTTAGCTTTTTAATCCTGTAGAAAAAGTGAGTTTACTTTTTAAAGGACTTTAAAACAGTTGACTTTTCTATGTGTTGTTTGTAATTTTCAGGAAAATATTAAATTAACACTCCTTCATTTGGCAAAAGTTTATATCGAAAAGAAATCTAAAGAGCAATGTAGCTTTTCTGCTGTATGATTTTTTTTAAAATTCTGCTTCCCTTAACTTAAAACAAATTAGAGAATTATGTCTATAGCGTCTAGACTTAAAACATTGTTTTGGTTTTTGAAAATACGATCTTACTTTCCAAGGATTTTTTTTCAAGATTTTATTTATTTATTTGAAAGGCAGAGTGACACAGAGAGGGAGAGACAGAGAGAAATCTATCTTTTAGTTTATCTGCAAATGGGCACAAAAGCCAGGGCTGGTCTAAGTGGAAGCCAGGTACCCAGGACTCCATCTGGGTCTCCCATATGAATGGCAGGGACCCAAGCACTTGGGTCATCACCTGCTACTTTAGCAGACATATTAGCAGGGAGCTGGATCGGAAGTGGAGCAGCTGGGACTTGAATCGGCACTTGGATACCAGCATCACAGTCTACTAGCTTAACCCACTGTATACAATGCCAGCCCTTTTCCAGGGTTTAAAAGAAATGTATTCTGATTAATTTTAACAAAATTTGGGCTATCAGAGATACTGTTGCTTCTGTTCAAAGAGCTAAGTCCACAAACCTGCTGCTAGATATTTGTATCTTCGCATTTGTTATTTAAGTTCTTTGAATTAAATCGGCCATTGCTTCAGAAACTAAAAGTTTATAGTATTTTACTTAAAATTCAAGGGGATTTAGTCTTAAACATCAATGCCTGAATTGGTGGGGCAGAGACTTTAAGTCCTTTGAGTCTGCAAGTGATCACTAGATTGTATGATCACTAGATAGTAGCTTGCGTGGTAGGTGGCATGGGGGAAGAAAGAGACTCAGTCTAGCTTTTTATTTAATGATCAAAACTTTGTTTATATGCTCAGATCAACAGTCTTCTCTCTATGTACACCTTCCCTAAGGAGAGCTCAGTGTTAGGAAGTATTAAAATCACAGAAAGTTAAAGAATTGAAGAACAGACTTCACGGGTCTCCCTAAGATTTAGATTATTAGTCTAACTTGTAGTTTGAGTTCACTATTAAGTAGTTCCATATGCCATTATTATACCCCTTATTTTTATGAGAAAGCCAACAAATGTAAATGATATACACATGAACATGTTTTATTTCATCATCTACCAACAAGACATTACATCTGCAGTATGATTCATTTTTTTTTAATTCAGGGTAGTCTTTGAAATTTCATTCTGTCTCCTTTCCCTCCACTTCCCCCTCCTCCCTTCCTTCCTACCCCTTTCCCCTTTTAACCAATTACAAGTAGAAATTAGAGCAGTATTTCTCATGAGGGAAGAAATGCAGTTTAAACAAACATTTTAAATTATCATTTACGTAATGTAATCATAGACGTGAGATGCACTTAAGAGGGTAAAGGAGAGTGATGCTGCTGAAAATAAAGTCGAAAAATCCTAGAGGATGTTCTAGGCCAAAAAAGTCAAGAAACACAATTTGCTTTATTTTATTTATTATTTTACACTTAAACATTTTGCCATATTCACTTCAATGCAGACATTATATACATGCACCTATATGCTATTTTTTCCTTGAAAGTAGAGATACTAATATCACAGACAATGATCACAACGTGGGAAAGAAGAGTGTATTCATAATTTTAAAGCAGCAGTTCTCAAACAGGAAATTTTACTACAGTCCACACAATATTTGTCTGGAGATACTTTGGTTTTCTTACACCTAATGGGCTGAGCCCAAGGATGCTGCTAGAACTTCTATGTGCAAGATAGCTCCACTCAATTAAGAGCTATCTTATCAAAAATATCAGTATAGCCCAGCTGAAGCAGCCTGTTTCAGAGAAATCTGATAGAAGGACATTAGCTGATGATTCCTGCAGATAGCCAGTACATGTGGGATTTATTGAAGAGGGCACAAGTAATTCCTCATTTGGGTTTTTAAAAAAAATACTTCTAGATAAATCCAATGTATTGTTCCCCTCTTGTAATGTCACCCACATTGAAGAACACCAGGCCAACTCTAACTCTGCTAGGCACGGGTGTGTGATGGAAAAATGTCCTGTGCATTGACTGCAGATGACAGCCGTCCCCACCAAGGCCTCCACACCCTGAACTGGCAGTGCAGTAAGACGCCTAAATCCAAGGGTGAAAGCAGTGCTCCCGTTACTCTAATTCCTTATTAGACTTATAAGTTTTGCAATGACTTTTGTTTTGTATTTTATTTATATGTTGGTACTTGCAAAAATGTCAGTGAAACATTTTTCTTTCAGACAGGCACTGGTCAGTCTTCCTATTATTTGTTTATTTTTTTAACCCCAGAAAAGAGTCTCTTGGTCTAAGCTGCTTGAGTGAACTGATCCAACTATATCAAGAACCTTTGAGAACAAAATTTTCAAGCACACCTGAAGGAGTCAGACAGAAACCTACGGGTGTCTTGACCTGATTATCATGGAACCTGACGACTTTGAAGACAAGGAGATGTTGAGCTGGGATATTAATGATATGAAGCTGCCACAGGTATGTACCTGCTCAGTAGGACTCTGCCTTTAGCATTTGGCCAGGCAGCCTTGACTGTATTAAGCAGCTAGGACCTATGAGGAAATTGGTGAGGGTCCCAGCTGGGTAAGCTTGCCTCCCACAGAGCTACATCTGAGCATCCAACCCAGGATTTTTAAAGAGAAGCCTGGACCTCTGATTGAACAAGTTTTTAACTACCACATCCCCTAGTAATAAACTAAGGCAAGGGAAGTGCTGCTATTCTCTTTCCAAGGTGGTTTGGCTCAGTTGTCCTCACCCTGGCTGGCTGGTTTGACAAAATCCATAATGATTCATTTGCTAACAGAGTGACTCTTTATCATGCATAAGTTCCCAGGCATCCTTATTTGTTATAGTAATAGTGTTAGGCTAAACCTATAACCAAAACATTCTAGAGTGTTCTAAAGGTAGTTCTCTAGTGGAACACAGCACACGCTTGTAGGATTATAAATGCCATGCACCCACATGGAATTGCTTTCCAGCTGCAGAGTGACCCCCACTGCATGCTTTCTTTGCCTTCCTCTTGGGCAGTTGACTTTGTAACTCAATTTGATGGAAAGCGTTAGTTGTTTAAAACTGATTTTCCACGTGTGTCACTCATGACGTCCTCACCCTCCCTTCTGGCCATTTGAAGATGATTCCACCAGGAACTGTTTGAAGTGGTGACCAAGGCGACTAAGGCTGGAGACCACCAGTACCAAGTAACAAAAAGGTCAGCCCAGTCTGCCCGAGCAGGGAGGGAGGAATGTAAACCATCCTGAGCTGGAGAAGGAGAATGGAGATTCCACAGTTTTGATTCGCAATCATTGAAATTGTCACTCTGATGAAGACTGTCATGTGCTTCTTTTTATGTTTTTCCTTAAATTCTCCCCACGTTCTTCCTTGGTAGGTCTTGGGAGAGCTGGAGGACAGAAAGCGTGGGCCACTTTCTGTTCACTTAAGAAGGATTAGAGGCCTGTGCTCCTGTGCAGCTTCTTACCCTGCTGCTTGGGACACCTGCATCCTGTAGCACAGAGCTTCCGATCCAACTTCCCGCTAAGCACATCCTGGGAGGCAGCAGGTGACAGAGGGCTCAATAGTTGGCTCCCTGCCATCCACTTGGGAGACCCAGGTGGAGCTCCAGGCTCAAGGCATTGGCCTGGCCTAACCCTGGCAGTTGTAGGCATTTGGAAAGCAAACCAGTGGATGGAAGATCTCTCTCTTTCTTTCTGTTGCTCTGCTTTTAAATTAATTAATTAATTAATTTTAAAAGGCTGGCTGAATGAACCACAACTAACTCCTGCAGATATCCATTTTAGGGATTTGTGTTTGCCATTGCTCTTAATAGATATCCTGATTATTGTAGCTAGTTGGGAGAAATACAAATTTTAATTGCCCTGGGCTAGGGGATCTATATTTTTGCCCATTTCTAATTTCATGATTACAGCCCTTGAATAGTAGCTGGACATACACAAGATCAAAAGCTGAAGTAAGCAGATACACACAGCACTCTGCAGCATCGTGTTCTAGTGTAGGGTCTTAGTGAGTCTCAGCACTCCTGGAACAGAGGACAACACTGAGCATTAGTGTGCATGCTTCTTGGAACAAGATCCATATCACTCCTCAGATCCATAAACTGAAGAGAGAAAGAGTCAGTCCCTGGGGGGAAATGCAGGGCTCATAAAATTTCATGTTCCAGCATGAGTTTCCAAAACAAAAGTGTTCTTAACTTTCCAGAGTATTAAACAAAAATTTACAGCAAATGTACACATTTGGTTTTGGGGCATGTGTTGCTTCTAGTTCATAGATAAAGTACTGAGATTGCTCATGGAAATAGCTAAATGTTCTTCAACTTGTTACATATATGAGGAAAATTATTAACATGTACATATTCTGAGCAGAGACTGCACCATCCTCATCTGGGTTTATGCTAGCTCTAGAATTGTATCAAAAGTGAGTTGGGATGAAAAATAAAAGGTCTTGGAAAGATTTCCAAGCATATTAGATTTTTATGTTTTGCAAACATATCTGGTAGCAAAGTTATACTATGAAAAGCCCACAACCTTCAACAAAAGCCTTGGATTGGAATTCTAACTCTGTCTCTTTGTATTTGTAGAGCTTGGTGGTAGTTGTAGTAGGGGATCCATTTACTTTTTCTGAGACCCCTTTCCTCTTCTGAAAATGAAGATGTTACACCAAGTGTTCCCTTACATGCCTACTTGTTCTAATAGTTAAAGAGTCTAGAATTGTCAACTTCTTGCCAAGCACAGTGTCTGGTAAGGGCCAAATATCAATTGACAAATAGGGATTTCATTAATGAATGACCCCTTTGCTTATTATCTGTGTGACACTACACAAATTGATGTTCTTTTTTTTTTAAGATTTATTTATTTATGTGAAAAGACAGAGTTAGAGAGGGAGAGACAAAAAGATCTTCCATCCACTGGTTCACTCCCCACATGGTCACAATGGCCAGGACTGGGCCAGGCCAAAGCCAGGAGCCAGGAGCTTCTACTAGGTCTCCCATGTGGGTACAGGGGTACAAGCACTTAGACCTTTCTCTACTGCTTTCCCAGGAACATTGACAGGGAGATGGATCAGAAGTAGAGCAGCCAGAACTTGAACCGGTGACCCTGTGGGATGCTGATGCTGCAGGCCATGGCTTTAACCCACTGTGCCACATGCTGGCCCCCAAATTGATGTTCTTAAGCCTTAGTGACCCCTTCTGTGATACGAAAGTAGTACTTCTTTTCATATCTTGCCTTAGTCTCTAAGCTGTTTAGATCAGTGTTTCCCAAAAAGTATCCTATAGAGTATAAGTTACAGAGAACTTTAGTGGGTGTTGTGAAGAAAGAAAAAGGGCAACATGAGGTCCAGTCAAGTTAGACCTATTTCTTTACTGCAGACCTGGAGCCTTCTTCACCACCTTGTGTGTGGGTGGCTCTCGCAAGAGGAGACTATGTTAGGTGATGTCACCTTAACTTGCTTTGGACCATGGAACTCTGTTTCCATGGGGCCCCCTCAAATAATATTCCTTGGACTAGCAGTTTGAGTATATTTTTAAAAAATGGTTTAAAAGACCAAATGCAGTGCCTTGTTATTACAATAAATTTTCCCCAATTTCACTTTGTCCTATCTACTTTCTGTATAAATAATTCATATATTTTTCATAATTTTGTATTCTTTCTGGAAAAATTCTGTATCACATGGGCATATTCCTTTTCTGTTCATCCTCTCACACGTTTCAAGTTTCAATTTGTAAATGCTAATTTGGTAATTTGGGTAGTCATTTATCCAAGTGTAACACTTCTGGTCCTAGAAACTCCACATCCCTTTAAATACTTTAGCTATATCAAGATTTATAAATTTTTGACAACAGTGAACAGTGATGTCCTCATTAGGACATCAAATATTTTCAAGTGGCTGGGCTATGCCAGGCATCAGGGCTCAGGGATGTCAGAGCCATTAAGCTGTGTTAATCTCCATGGAAGGGCTTGTGAGCTTCTGGGCCACTAGAGCAGGACCGATGCTCAAACAGAATCAGTGCATGTAGAAAAATGCTGGAGGAGCTTGGGAAAGGAGTATGCAATTCAGTATGACTGGCACAGAGAGTGAGGTAGAGCATCTAGTCAACGGCTTTGATGATCAAGGCTAAGGGTAGGGGCCACAGTGGGAAGGCTCTCAGACATCTGCACTTGAAGGAGCTATGCACAGGTGTTCAGCAGGGAGATCTGGGGAGCTCTTGGCTGGAAAGATGCTTGAAAGAAGGATATCCTAAGAGGCCTCATTTATTTTACAGGTAGTGAGAAGCCATTAGACTTGTTGGGCTAGAAAGCATGATCAAATCCTAGGGGCTAAAAAGGCCCGGATTCTTCCAACTCTGCCTGTCCTCAGTGAATCCTTCCTCCCCTGTATTTGTTTCATGTACCTGTCCCCTCCCCATCACTTTTTTTAGCTATAAATGTCTTAGTAAATCTTCATTTCACTTCTCTCTGGCCACTCCTTTGTTTTGATTCCATTTCATCTAAATGCAACCTCTAGGGAGCCATTGTAGAAATGCAGGCATTGGCTTACAGCCATCATTGATAACAGTCTTTATTCCAGGCCAATGTTCTATACTCATTGTGCTTTTCCTTTCTAGTCCCCTTACATTAAAATTTCCAAGTTGCATTTGGAAAGTTCAACTATAATCACTTAGATTTTGCTTGGTCCAAGTAGTCAATGAATGGTATTGGTTTAATCTTCATGAAAAATGTGGATGACGTGCTGCGGGAGAGTGTCATACTCACATCAACACTGATTGTAACACTGCAGAAAGTGCCTTCTAAGATTCTTTTTTTCGGGTTGAAATTCAGTTTCTTTTTCTCTTAAATAGTACCCAATTCACCAAAGAAAGGAGAGCACTCACCCCATTCCTAACACCTGCCAGTTTCCCCAAGTAAAGCACTAGTTGTTCTAGTGGCAGCACAGCGGACAAACACCCTCAATCCTTTTGTCTTAAACACAGAGCAGTTTTCACATTAAACCCATGGCCAAAGCCACACCAGGCCATTAACACATGAGATTCCAAGGTCTAAGTGCACGTTTTTATGCAGAAAACATTCTCTGAAATAGAATAGTGGAGCCACCAAGGGACAATGGCTCCACTTAATTCATACTTGGACTATGATTTTAGCAAAATTCCCTTTGCCTTTGTGGAGGATGAATCCAAAACTGTGAGCAATCCTAATAAATTGAGCTCCTTCTGTGATTACGTTTGGTTGACTGTGATTGGAATGGGCCAATTGCAATAATCAGATGTGTCTTGGTGCCACTGAGCTAACGGGTAAACCAGCTTCTGGATTTCTTGTCAATTATTATTGAACTGCACAATCAGGTCATGTTGTCACTGGCCTGACAGGGACACCCATGACTGCCCCCTGTTTGCCCAGTGTTATCCCTGGCCTCAAGGTCATTTGAACTTCCCTAGGACAGCTCTATCTTTGTGGGCTCCTATGATCACT